CCCCCCCCCCCCCCCCCCCCCCCCCCCCCCCCCCCCCTCACCATACTCAACAGCACAGTGTCTGCTGTGGAGACCTTCAGGTTTCTGGGATCCACAATCTCCCAGGACCTGAAGTGGGCCCCCAACATCAACACCATCAGGAACATGTAGTTAGATGTAAATGTAGTAAAAACCTGTGTTCGCTGGTCGTCTAGTTTACTTTTGGTTGAAAGAGAAAGGTGAAAAAACGTTTTTTATGCAGATGAAAAGCGTTGACACTTTTTCGATACCAATTTTATAAAATGCATCATGCAAGTCAAATCTTTAGTTTTATTTTTCAGCTCCATGGCATTTTTCCACTCTAAGTTGCTTAACATCATAAACAATAAAGTTATTGACCACAACTTGAAGTTGTCTGTTAACATAATATCAATAAATAAAAAGGTATAAAGCCGACATTGATCACAGGTCCTCCAGATTACCAGACAACTCTCTACCTCCTGAGACATGCTGCTGAACAGCAACGCTAACAATACAAAGGAATGAAATGAATCAGTGCAGAAACAGACTGTATTGTATAATGACCATAATAAATCCTTGAATCCTAGTATGAATGAATCCCTGGAAGGAACAGTGGTTAACAGGAGGATTAATTGTCAGAAATGGAATATAATATTCAGAACTTTGTTTTCATTAGTGTATAATGACCTGAAACTAAGACTCATTGTAACTTTGATAGCTTAGACAAAGCCATATATATATCTACACAGGGACCGGGTCCTCTTCATTCATTTCATGATGGACAGTCCTGTTTCTACAGCAGCCCAGAACGGACAGACCAACACAGGGATGGGTACTGCAACCCCGTATTAAACGGGCCCCGGGGCTAAAGAATTAAAGACCAGAGTGTTGATGAGCCCCGATGTTACTGCTGTTTTTATTGTGTGTGTGTTTCAGAGACTGATGTCTCCCAGCGCTTCGACGCCGGCTCTCCTCACCTCCCGTGGGACCATCCGTTCTATGACATCGCCAGGCATCAGATCATTGAAGTGGCAGGTCAGTCTTCTAATGTGTCCCACTGTAAAGTTGATGGTTCAGTTTGTCTTTGCTTTTATCTTTTACAAATACTTGTTCAGACTAAAATGTTAATTTGCAGAAGTCTGACTTCATGTTTTCTTAACAATATATAATAGAGTGAAAGTAAAAAGTTGATGTTGATTCCCGCTCTTTCTCTCTGTGTGTCTGCAGGTGATGATAACTTTGGCAGGAAGGTGATCGTCTTTAATGCATGCAGGATGCCTCCACACCACCAACTGGACCATCACAAGCTGCTGATGTAAGAACCAATGGAAAACTAACAGAGCTGTATACTCGTAGCTTTGTTTGTTAATGCCCTGCACACAGCCAAGTGGTTATCTCACCAATTTAACAATCATAGAATTGGAATAAAATACAGCAAAAATGTATATGTAATTGTTAGTTATATGTTTGTGTGAAATGATTTAGTTCAAAAGCTTGTATATAGAATAATACTACTTTTATTCAGTGAGAGATAAACCATAGGGGCATTAGACACTGGAATCTCATGTTGCTCACATAGACAGAATATCTAGTATACAACACAATACTCTGCACTAACTTTATATCTATTGTGTGCTGTGTAAATATCCCTGCTTGTGTATTCATGGCTCCGTGGGTGGTAACAAGCGTTCTTAATACAAAGCATTATGATTCAGTGAGTCCTGTTTCTCAATAACGTGGAACTGTGAATGGAAATGTCACTTCAGCTTTTTGATGTTTGTTTTTCACCATTATGTCCTGAGAGCTTCTGTAATGTGTTTCAGCTTTAAGAAGGTTGGTGTAAATGTGATTCCTGGTCAAATTGGACAAGATTATTGAGTCCAGTTGAGATACATATGTATCTATTGAAATGACAATTCATTTGTTGTATTTTTTGCAGGTATCTTAAAGGAACACTGGATCAGTATGTTGAAAGTGACTACACACTGATCTATTTCCACCATGGGCTGACCGGGGAAAACAAACCCTCTCTCAGCTGGCTACGAGACGCATACAGAGAGTTTGACAGAAAGTAAGCTCAACAACATCACTTCAGTACAGTTTTATTTCTACAGTCCAATATCACAAATCACTTAATATCTGTACAACATGTCACACGACGTGTACAGACAGGGGCCACAGACCATCACATGAGAAGTGACTGAAGCCTTCGTCTTGCCTTAATCCATCACTTTCATCTCTTTAAAGTGAACACGGGCCCTATTTTCATGGCAGCACACTGACAAGCGCAAAAAGTGCTCTGAATTTGTTTGATTGTGAAATTGACTTGGTAAGTGGTCGCGGCGCATAAGCTTTGTTTGTACTTACGCTTTGCAACATAGCCTCCGCAGATGGCGAGCAAGCTCCAGTTTATGCCCAATGGGATGTTCGTTGTGTGATTCTCTGAAACGCCAGAGGGTGTACAAACAAAATGAACTGTGAAGAATCAAAACGACAACAAGCGTAACCTGCAAAACCCTGCGGCAACCTTCGGTTCTGAAGAGTGAAGCCATGTGGAAGTGTCTTAAACTCGCATTCTCTCTACTGACCAGCAGGGGGCGACTCCTCTGGTTGTATAGAAGTCTATGAGAAAATGACTCTACTTCTCTCTTGATTTATTCCCTCAGTAAACATTGTAAACATGAGTTTATGGTCTCAATCTCTAGTTTCAAGTCTTCTTCAATACAGCATGATGTTCATTTGGTAAATGATGGTCCATTTAGAGTCAAACAGACCATAAAGCAGGGGATGCTTTAGGGCGGGGCTACACAGTGATTGACAGGTCGCTGCCTCTATCAGAGCCATAAAACGGCCGTATACGGCGCTGTGACCACTTGCGGAGCCTTCTCGCAGGCCGTGGTTACGTTGTTTTGTGGTGCAACCATAAACCTAGCTTAACGGCTAACATACGGAGGTTCCTTTCAGTCACATTATGATGCGTTCAGGCTCTGTTATGGGAAAATTAGTATTGGGTGAAGGTAAATTTTAACATTATGATGTGTTTAGATGTCATTTTGTATAACGTAGGTTTTGGTGAGTAACTTGAATAAATCCATTTCTTTGAAGATGTTTTCAATATGGATTATCAATGATTGGTAATTGGTATCGGATGCAGAAAAGTTTTATATTTGCTACCTTTTTTTTGTGCTGATCCAATTACGAGATCTGTGCCTCAAATCATGATACGATCCGAACGGAGAGTTTTATGATCCTGCTACACACAAGAAATCGGCTGAATTCAATTCATCCAGCCATTTTCTTCTCTTGGCTTTACTGCCTTGTACATTGCATCTTCGCTGTAGGATTATCATCAAGAAGAAAACAGAACTCACTATTTGAGTTACTCTACAATCTAAAATGTAATAGTGACGTTTTAGATCAATGAAACTATCTGCTATCATTCTACGTGTTTGCCAAATGAGTGGCACTTATGTATGGAAATAAAAAACATGACCAAGCAGAAAAACTGACCTACAAATTTATAGCACACTGTCGATGGTTGTTTTGAAGTGAGAAGTGCATTGGATGTTCTCCTAAAGTAAAAGTGGAAGCACTGCATGCCTCAGTGAAATGAGTGGAATATTTAGAAACCAGCATACAGCTGCATACTCTGCTTCAGAGATCCTACTAACTGTACAGGACATCATCTGTATGTGTTTTCAGGTACAAGAAGAACATCAAGGCTCTGTATATCGTTCATCCCACCATGTTCATCAAGACTCTGCTGTTCCTCTTCAAACCAATCATCAGGTTCTTTTTTATGTCACATTAAATCAAATGTTTCAAGAGATGTAAATTTACATTTTTACATGTTAAACAGGTTTTCTTGACACTTCTACAGTGTAAGCCATCATTGTTTACTGCTTTGTGTGTATCAATCAGAACAATATGACTAGTCCTGTATAGGACCACACCATTTCACCTAAATTCACCTTTTTATCTTTATTCACATAATCCAAAAGTCTAACGAGGGTAAAATGACTTCTGATGAAGTTTAGGGGCTTAAGATTTATAAGGGGGGGGGGGGCTATAAATGGGTTTGAGGGTGAACCATTAATATTGAATATTACAACACACAAGCTGTTGCACGTAATGAGCAATGTCTGTTTCCTAGCATTTATAGGATTAATACAGAAAGAACAAGTATAAAATTGATCAGTTTAAGATAAGATCACATCCTGAACACATGAAACCTATTTTCAATGGTGCACTTCCTGCTTCTGTGCTGCTGTTTTGCCTGCATGCAGAGATCACCTCGTTAGCTATGGTACATTTCTATAGTTCCTTTCTAGTCTTCTGACCACTTAAAGCACTGCACACTATAGCCACCCATTCACACACACGTTCATGCAGAAGCTGTGAAGGTGTTCAGATTAGTTCTTCATGTGCTTCCATCCTGCTGTTGAATAATCACTGACATGTTTTTACTGTCGGCAACAGTTACACCGATAAGAAAACTCAATCTGAAAATAGCACAGTGTTTCCATAGATCCATAAAGTACAGTGATGTGAATACTTGTGTTACTTCAACACGATATTTGAGTTCCTGTAGTTTCCCAGAAATATGAAGTGACTTCATTGACATAACTGATGAAATCACTCTAGTAACCTCTAGTGGCAGCTGTAGAAAACTACTACAACAACTTCATCCAACAGTGTTTCACTCTCCACTGAGTCAGGAGAGTTGTTGCATCACTTCTCCAGGTAACCGCTAAAGCCAGCATGCTTCATATTCAAAGTATTTAATTCCTTTATAACTTGACAAATGGCTAACAAGACCCGGCTCAATAAGAGTACTGACACACGTTTGTAAAATGTGTTGTGAAATATATGATACCCAAGTGTCATTACTGATAGCAAAACAATATTCTTTTCATACCTTATTTTAGTTTTTTCTTTAAAAGCCTTTGTTTATTAAAAGGTATACTATGTTACATTGTTGGTTGCTGTTAACTGTAAACCCACAGCATTCAAAGCTGGCCCCTCCTCCCCGGATCCTGTTACTACAGACACATTTCAGGGAGTAGCCAAAAGGGGCTGTAGACATTATTTCCATGTCCTCCTTGGGAGAGACACTTAACCCCAAGTTGTCCTTTAGGCTGTTCCAACGGTGTGTGAATGTAGTATGAATGTTGGATAGTCCTGATGAGCAGGTGGGACCTTGCATAGTAGCCCCTGTCATCAGTGTGTGAATGGGTGAATGACGACATGTAGTGTTGAAGCACTCTCAGTGGTCGGAAGACTAGAAAAGAACTATACAAGTACAGTCCATTTACCATTTATCATTCCATTATTGATTAACTTGCTGATTATTTTTGTAGTTAAGAATGTCTTTATAAAACATCAGAAAATGCTTAAAATGCCAAGTTTACGTCTTAAAATACTTTCTTTTGTTTGACCGACTGTTCAAAAAAACCAAAGCTATTAATTAAACTATCATGTAAGAAAGAAAAGCAGCAATTTGTCACATTTGAGAAACATGAACTATGATTTTTATGAATTTAATTAAGTAATTTCCTGTTGATTGAGATAAGACCGATTTATATTACTTTATGGTCATCCGTCTGTATGCAGAGCAGTACAGTGCAAGACCAGGTCCAAACATGTAGCTGTTCATCACAGGACAACTATACAACAGCTCTCATGATCATGGGAGGAGGGTAAATAATCAAATGAAACATGGCTGAATGTCCTGTTATTGTGAATGCTTATTCACTGTCATCCTGTGATGGCTCACTGAGGCACCTTCACATTATAACCTTTTATCAAATATACTCATATTTTCTGATTTACTTAGTTTATGTGTTCACATTTTCTGTTGTCCATTTCTTTAAAAAAAAAAAAAAACATATTTTGTCATCAACTTTATGATAAAATGTGAAAATTCAATCCAGCATTTGGCAACATGATCATCATCATTCCCCATTTCAAACTAAACAAGTTCAGAACAACAGAGTGTGAATGCAGCAAATGACAAGGTAACTGAAGTGAATTTTCTCTCTCTCTCTCTTTGTAGTTTTAAGTTTGGCAGGAAGATCAACTATGCGAGCTACCTGAGTGAGCTGGAGGACGTGGTGAAATGTGAGCAGCTGCTCATTCCTGCCCGCGTCAAAGAGTAAGAGCTAATGTCATAGTCCACAAATCTACTCCATTATTCACAATCCATATCTGCATTTGATTTCCTACTGTTATCATTTTGTCTTTTAATAGGTCATGGTATTGGTTTTGAAAATGGTGTTTGTATTACATTCACTGTTGCTATTTAACTTCTGTATCCTGTTAAAATACATTTCATCCCAGAAATAATTGAAACCTACACACAATTACATCTGTGTACATCTTTGTTAACTTTTTGAATCCACAGATTTAAAGTAAGAGTTGACAGCAGCTGATCTTCTTTGTCTCTGTCAGGTACGACAACAAGTTAAGAGCGTCACTGAAACCCACCGGCCAGCCCCCCACGTCTCCTCTCCACAGCCCCCCCCTCCCCAACCAGGTGTTTGGGGTGCCACTAGCAATGTAAGTCTGTTTGACTGTTATATTTTGATATATATCGATTGATAACTATATTCACTCAAGTACTGTACTTAAGTACAAATTCAAGGTACTTGTACTTTCTGAAGTATTTCCCTTTTATGCAACTTTATACTTCTACTCTACTAATTTTCAGAGGCAAATATTGTACTTTATATTCTACTACTACATTTGTCTAGGAACCTTAGTTACTTGTTACTTTTCAGATTACATTTTTTTCATACCCTTCCTGTTCAGTGAAAAGAAAAAACGAGTGTTTTTGATAAACTGATGGATGAAGTGTTCCTTCATGAGTTTAATGAATTCTCCTACGTTTTATGTTAAATAAATACTCGTACTATTAACTAGAAAATGCATCGTTACGAAGCTGAAAACAGGGCTGTTCTTCTGAGCTCATGAAAAGTTTAATTTTTAGAGATTTGTGGTTCTCACACATATGATGATCTTATAGAATATGATGCATTGCTGTAGACTTAACTGTATACAAAGATGTTCAAATTAGCACAACCATAAACGTCTAGTGCAGTAAAATGCAGCAGTGATATTAATCCAGAAACATCATATATTATAGTAAAACGTTTGTTAGGTTGTGCTTTGGTACATTTCACTCACGCAATTTGCTCTAAATTGTTAAGTGCAGGAAAGCCATGGATGGTATTGTATTACAGCTCCAGTCAGCTTTAAGGACACTGGCTGTGTCTCAGCTTGTTATCTTAACCACTGTGTGTGTTTGTTAGACTGAGACAGAGGAATCCAGATGAGGATCCTATTCCCTTGGTGATGAGAGACACCATCAGCTTCCTTTCAGAGCAAGGTACCACAAACATGATGTACTAATACTTTAAATTGATACTTTTAACTGCAGGTCACTCAATGAATTGTTCTCCTAGTAAGAACTGTCTTGTGCTTCTTTACTGTGCTGTGTGTGTCTCAGGTTTGGAGATTGAAGGGATCTTCAGACGGTCTGCCAATGTGACTCTGGTGAAGGAGGTCCAGCTCAGATACAACTCAGGTAGGATCAATAGGCCTGTTGAACCAGTGTGTTGACTTTACTGCTCAGACTTTGTTGTTTTGTCTTCTGACTTCCTGTCTACGCAGGAAGCAGGGATGTGTTGATTTTGGGAGCTCGTGATCACCTTGTGCCAACATTTTAGTATTTCTCTGAGCAGTTCTATAATGCAGTGGCGGGTCGTGCATTTTATACCTGGGCCTTCTGTGCTGTCCTACTGAGCTACGGTTATTATTTGTTTCTAGGGGTGTAACTACACGTATTCGTATTAAACCGTTCGGTACGAGGCTTACGAACCGAACAATACGTTTGAATAATACTAGTGCATTTGTTAAATGCAGAAGCTTAAATTGTGGGAAATATAATGTTTTCGGTGGACTGCGCTCACGTAACAGACAACGGGCTGTGACCTTTTGAACCCGGAACAATAACAAAAAACAGCTGAGGCCCCGCGTGTGTTCAGGGAGGCTAAGCTAACTAGTGTTGAGTTTGAGAGCCTCTTAAACTGTGGGAAAGACCGCCTTTGACCCAGCCTTACTAAAAAGTCAGCCGGTTTCAATTATGAACAAAAGTATTTCATACTTCTGATGCTAATACAATTACAGAGTGAAGCACATTAATTACAGTATCTATAAATCCCCTGAAAATCCAGGGTCATTCATTCGCTATGCCACAAAATCTGTTTGTAATGGTTTTATGTATCTCACCCACTTGTCCCAGAGTTCTGGGCTTAAGCCCCCTTAAAAGGACCTGACTGTGATGGACAAAGGGAAATATGGATAACGTGTTCTTTTCTTATTGTGCACGTGTTTGTGTGTTGGTAGGTGAGCCAGTGAGTTTCACAGAGATGGAAGACATCCACTTGGCTGCTGTGATTTTGAAGACATTCCTGAGGGAACTGCCTGAGCCTCTGCTGACCTACCAGCTCTACAACGACATCATCAACTTCACTTGTATGTTCAAGCATTACCTACTATTTATATTAGGGTCCTCCCCACCGACGTAGTCGGAGCGGAGGACCTATTGTTCTTCTAATGTTTATTATTGTTATTGTACATGTTTCGTCGCAAAAAGGAGGTGCTTGGGATACTGGTAATATTTTGAAATTTTGCACGCAAGGCAGTCGTGGCGAAAACTGCAGTCCAGCATGAAAAATTGGCTCGATAGCGCCCCCTATTGACTAGCCCCAACATTGGGTTTCACCTAGATGTATGAAATCTGGTACGTATGTGTAACATGGTGGGACGTACAAAAAATCCTCTTGGAGTTATTCACTAAACCAAACAGGAAGTCAGTACATCCTGCAGGAAGTCGGTACGTCCCGCTCCTCACAGATTAATCAGATCCCTCTAAAATGTTGTCAGAAAAGCCTTAAGACCTTAATTATTCTTCATTGTGAAGATTGTAAGAATTTGTTAAAGGGCGGCGACATGGCGGCTCGGCGAATTTCAATCCTTCGCCATGAACAAATAAACTGATGTAACTCAACTCTACATCATCAGATCTTTTCCAGATTTCACATGCTTGATGAGACTCCAGTCCTGAAGACATCTGCAGGCCAATTTTGAATCATAGTCATAGCACCACCTACTGGTAACAGGAAGTTAAAGTCTCTATAATTTGGCTTGTTTCTCTTAGTAGGTAAATCAGATCAACATCAAATTAGTTCCACACAAATGTAAGAAGTTCATAATGCCAGTTCATGAAGCTTTTGATGTTTCGCAGTCTTTGCCGTGAAAAACGGTACTTTTGAGGGGCTAAAAATGCTTGAAACATAAGCAAACGTGGCAGACAGATTTAAAGCCCAAAATTTTGTTATATAATATGATTTTATTGCTTCAGAGTGGCAAATCGCTCGATAGCGCCCCCTACACAATTTTGCCGAAGCAGCCTTCGCAGTACGTTTCACATAGATTTACAGAATTTGGTAGGCACATGTATCACATGTGGATTTAAAAAAAAGTCTCCTGGTGCCATGCCCTAAACCACTAATAAGCGGACCGCGGTCCGGATCCGGACCCAGATGCCGTTGTATCCGGACCCTGGACCTAAAACCGATAGATAATTGAGAATTATTAAATTTTGACGGAGCGCTTCTATTATAACCGGCGCAGCTTTTCCAGTATTTACGGCACTTGTTCAGCAGTGCAGGAAACACACCGACCAATGCGTTGTAAATCACATCACGTGATGCAGCTCAGCCAATCAAATATGGGTATTCTGACAAGTTTCCTGACTCAAGTGAGTGATTTACACACACGAGAGAGACGAGGAAAGAGAACGAAGAGCAGGAGAATAATTACGTGAGTCAGAGAAGTTATTTCACATGATGTTCTCCAAAGAGAGAAAAGTGGTCAGTATGAAGGTATATTTGTCTTTATTACGCAAACAAAAAAAATGTTTTGAGAGCAAATTTCTCGCACTGCAAACAAAAATCAAGTTTGTAAGTAAAATATATAACCTGAACATACATTATTTGTTAGTTTTGCTTATGAAACTATAATTTTTGGCTGCAAATCAAAAACTTTTGCTTTCAAAACAAAAACCTTTTGCCCTCAAAACAAAAACCTTTGCTAAGGAAGGGTCTCCCTCTACCCTGAGGGTATACGTGGCCGCTATTTCGTGGCAGCATGCTAAGGTCGACAATGACACAGTAGAGAGCCACAGACTGGTGTCCCTCTTCCTAAAAGGGGCTCTGCAATTGCGTCCCCCGAAGGCCCCCTGCATGGGACCTACCCTTGGTATTGGACACCCTATGCTTGCCTCCTTTTGAACCCCTGGCACAGGTGGAGCCGAGATGGCTGTCGGCCAAAACGTTTTTTCTCCTTGCCATCACTTCAGCCAAACGTGTAGGCGAGCTACATGCCCTGTCGGTGAGTGAATCATGTCTGAGGTGGAACTCGGATGGCTCGGGTGTTACTTTGTGGCCTAATGCAGCGTTTCTCCCAAAGGTGTCAACCTCGCATATCAACCAGCCTATCCAGCTTGCGCAGTTTGACCCCCCATCAGGAGAGGAGAGGTCAAAGCGGGCCCTCAGAGCTTATGTGGAAGCCACCGCGTGCATACGGCGGTCGGAGCAGCTCTTTGTCAGTTATGGTGGGCCCAAGAAGGGCTGCGCCCTTTCAAAACAGCACCTGTTCCACAGATAGTGGAGGCCATTGCCTATGCATACAAGGCAAGCGACCGTGCTCTACCATCCGGAGTGAAGGGCCACTCTATCAGGAGTGTCTCCACGTCATAGGCAGCCCTGAGAGGTGTGCCTGTGGAGAATATATATGCTGCGGCCTCATGGGCATCACCGAGCACATTCATCAAACACTACATTGCCACCACTCACCCACTGGGGAGGGTTCTTTGGCCAAATTCCTCTGCCTTAGCTATACGGAGTAGGTACTTGTGATTCCTCATGACTCTGTTGATATAAGTCATCCAGTGTTAAGCACTGCCTCTGGCGGTCAGTAAGGATGAAATCGAACGAAAGTTACGAATGTAACTACAGTTCTATGAATCCTAGATGACCGCCAGAATTCTTGGTCACTCGGAATTCCGTGAACTTGCGAGAAGATTCCGTAGGACTGATCTCAAGATGACACCGGAACTTATAGACGACGGGGGTCATCTGAGGTCACAGGTGACTTTGTTGATATAAAGACTCGACCTGCGCGTGCGCGAGACAGAAGATATCCAGTGTTAAGCACTGCCTCTGGCGGTCATCCAGGATTCATAGAACCGTGGTTACATACGTATCTTTTGTTTTCATTAATCCATCCATTTTCCACCGCTTATCCGGGGTCGGGTCGCGGTGGCAGCAGGCCAAGCAGGCCGACCCAGACCTCCCTCTCACCGGCAACATGTTCCAGCTCATTCTGGGGGATCCCGAGGCGTTCCCAGGTCAGCTGGGAGATGTAATCTCTCCAGCGTGTTCTGGGTCTTCCCCGGGGTCTCTTCCCACTTGGACGTGCATGGAAAACCTCCAGTGGGAGGCGTCCAGGAGGCATCCTAATTAGATGCCCGAACCACCTCAGCTGACTCCTTTCGACGCGAAGGAGTAGCGGCTCGACTCCAAGTTCCCTCTTGATGGCCGAGCTCCTTACCCTATCTCTAAGGCTGAGCCCGGCCACCCTACGGAGGAAACTCATTTCGGCTGCTTGTAGCCGTGACCTTGTCCTTTCGGTCATGACCCAGAGTTCGTGACCATAGGTGAGGGTAGGAACGTAGACCGAGTGGTAAATTGAGAGCTTTGCCTTCCGGCTCAGCTCCCTCTTCACCAAGACAGTCCGCTGCAGCGCCTGCTTTACTGTCGCACCGATCCGCCTGTCGATCTCCTGCTCCATCTTACCCTCACTCGTGAACAAGACCCCGAGATACTTAAACTCCTTCACTTGAGGTAGGCACTCCGTCCCCACCTGGAGGAGCAATCCACCGGTTTCCGGCAGAGAACCATGGCCTCAGATTTGGAGGTGCTAATTCTCATGCCCGCCGCTTCACACTCGGCTGCAAACCACCCCAGTGAATGCTGGAGGTCATGATCCGAGGAGGCTAACAGGACCACATCAATTGCAAACAGCAGAGAGGTGATCCCGAGACCCCCAAAACTGACGTTCTCCGCCCCCAGGCTGCGCCTAGATATCCTGTTCCTGAAAATCACGAACAGGACCGGTAACAAAGACCCACCGGGAACGTGTCTGACTTATTGCCGAGAATGCGGACACAGCTCCTACTGCAGTCGTACAGAGACCGGATCGCCCGTTGTAACGGGTCCGGCACCCCATACTCCCGCAGCACCCCCCACAAGACCCTCCGAGGGACCCGGTCGAAAGCCTTCTCCAAGTCCACAAAGCACATGTAGACTGGTTGGGCAAACTCCCAGAGCCCCTCCAGTAGTCTTGCGAGGGTAAAGAGCTGGTCCACTGTTCCACGGCCGGGGCAGAATCCGCACTGCTCCTCTTGAATCTGAGGTTCGACAAGCGGTCGGAGCCTCCTTTCCAGCACCCTGGCATAAGCCTTCCCCAGGAGGCTGAGTAGTGTGATACCCCGGTAATTCAAGCACACTCTGCGGTCCCCCTTTTTGAAGATAGGAACCACCACCCCGGTCTGCCATTCCATGGGCACTGATCCTGACCCCCATGCGACATTGAAGAGGCGTGTCAGCCAGGACAGCCCAACTATGTCCAGCGCCTTCAGCATGTCAGGGCGGATCTCATCCACCCCCGGCGCCTTGCCACCAAGGAGCTTAACTACCTCAGCGACCTCTGCCAGGGATATGGGTGAGCCTCCCCCTAGGTCCTCAGGCGCTGCCTCCTCTGCAGAGGACATGTTGGTCGGGTTTAGGAGTTCCTCAAAGTGCTCTTTCCACCGCCCGACGATGTCCTCCGTCCGGGTTAGCAGTTCCCCCCCCCCCTGCTGAGAACAGCCTGGGGTAAGCCCTGCTTTCCCTTCCTGAGCCGTCGGATGGTTTGCCAGAACCTCGTTGAGGCCAACCGAAAGTCCTTCTCCATGGCCTCCCCGAACTCCTCCCATGCCCGAGTTTTAGCATTCGCGATCACCGCAGCTGCAGCCATTCTGGCCTGCCGGTACCTGTCAGCTGCTTCAGGAGACTCCTGGGCCAACCAGGCCTTGAAGGTCTCCTTCAGCTTGACGGCTTCCCTCACCTCCGGTGTCCACCACCGGGTTCTCGGGTTGCCGCCACGACAGGCACCGATGACCTTCCGGCCACAGCTCCTAGCGGCCGCGTCCACAATAGTAGAGGCTTTGAACATGGTCCACTCGGATTCCGTGTCCCCAACCTCCTCCGGGATGTGTGAGAAGTTCTTCCGGAGGTGGAGTTAAAGACCTCCCGGACAGGGTCCTCCGCCAGACGTTCCCAGTTCACCCTCACTACACCTTTGGGCTTGCCGGGTCTTTCCAACCGGTTCCCCTGCGATCTGATCCAACTCACCACCAGGTGGTGATCAGTTGACAGCTCTGCTCCTCTCTTCACCCGAGTGTCCAAGACATACGGCCGCAAATCAAATGATATGATTACAAAGTCGATCATTGATCTCCGGCCTAAGGTGTTCTGGTACCAGGTACACTTATGAGCCACCTTATGTTCAAACATAGTGTTCGTTATGGCCAAACCGTGGCAAGCACAGAAGTCCAATAACGAAACACCATTCGGGTTCAGATCGGGCAAGCCGTTCCTCCCAATCACCCCCCGCCAGGTTTCTCCGTCATTGCCCACGTGAGCGTTGAAGTCCCCCAGGAGAACTATGGAGTCGGTAGGCGGCGCCCTTTCCAGGAACCCTCCCACCGACTCCAAGAAGGCCGGATACTCCGAACTGGTGTTTGGTGCATAAGCACAAACCACAGTCGGAGCCTTGCTCCCCGCAACCCGTAGGCGCATGGAGGCGACCCTCTCGTTCTCCGGGGAGAACTCCAACACAGCGGTGCTCAGCCGGGGGCTCGTGAGTATCCCCACTCCCGCCCGGCGCCTCTCACCCTGGGCAACTCCGGAAAAGGACAAAGTCCAACCCCTCTCCAGGAGCTTGGTTCCAGAGCCAACGCTGTGTGTGGAGGTGAGTCCAACTATTTCTAGCTGGTATCGCTCCACCTCCTGCACCAGCTCCGGCTCTTTCCCCGCTAGCGAGGTGACGTTCCACGTCCCTAGAGCTAGTCTATGCTGCCGGCGATCGGCATGCCCGGGCCTCCCGCCCGACCCTGCCGCCCGGTCTGCATTGCACCCGACCCCGATGCTTGTCCCTGTGGGTGGTGGGTCCACAGGGTGGCTGCTCCATGGTGTTTATTCGGGCTGAGCCCAACCGGGCCCCATGGGCAAAGGCTCGGCCACCAGACGCTCGTCTACGATCTCCCCTCCTGGGTCTGGCTCCGGGAGGGTACCCCGGTTTCCCTGGTCCGGGCGAGGTGGCTAAAGTCCGTGGGCTAACTATCATAGGGGTCGTTTTCATTAATAGTACATTTTATTGTTTTTGTTCGTTTTGGAGCCAGGCCGTAAAGTAATTTCATGCAACGTGAAGTTTGTTTAATAAAATCAACTACACCCAGGCTAATTTATATGATAGATTATTCTACATTGGCTCACCTTTTGGCTTAAATTTATTCCCCACATGGAACTATACATTCTCCTATTTCTCCTCGACTCTTCCAGCTTTGAGTCTCTCAGCAGTGATTGTCAGAGACACCTGCACAAACAGTTGGTTTTGAGACCTGCATTTACTTTGACAGCGTGTTATATTACAAACACTGTTCACTGACGTTATGTCACTAGTAAATGTTAACAGTAAATGGACTTGACATGATTAGCACCTTTGTAGTCTTCCAACCACTCGAAGCGCTTTACACTACAAGTAATCATTCATGCACATTCATGCACAGCCCCCATCAATGTTTGATGTGTTGATTTTGAATGATACAGATGTTTAAGTGGAAGAGAGCAAGAGAAAGGAACAAATAAGGAGAGAGAGAAGTAGAAAGCCTGCACATGTGGGCGAGCGAGACAGAGAGACAGAACACGCACACTTTATTTTTTTTTGGTAGTTACTTGAAGTAATTATGTGCTTTATCACTGAAGTGTATTTTCTGGCAGCTGAGACAACCAGAGTGACAGCTGACTCATGAAGGAGTGTTTAAAGTGGTCTAAATATAATAATTAGTGCTGGGCAACGATTAAAATATTTAATCGCGATTAATCGCATGGATTTTTTTGCGATTAATCGCATTGTTATGGCAATAACAATTTTATTTTAAAAGTACTGCTATATGAACAAAAGGGCAATAACATTTGGTTCACGAGATGCAGGTAGCATGTTTTATACTTAATGTGAATATAATTCATACTTTGTTGGCATCTTATTCTGAAAACCGGATGTTTGTCTGAAGAAACCGGATGTTGTCTCACGTTAATCTTTCCGCTAACTTTCAAAGTCCTTTGCTTGCTCCCGATCTGTGCCGTTTAAATGAGTTTACCGTGAACTTCAGCATATAGGTGCACTAACATGTAAGTGTCTGCTGAGTTGACCACGGAGATCTTACACAACTGACTATAGGATGTTTGCTGGCTTTTATCCCACTGTTCTTGTCATCCTCTTGTTGTTATGTATATGTATTGTCTCTTGTCTTTCAATAAAAAAAAAAAAACAATTATAATAAATTTAAAAAATGCGTTAACGCACGATAAAATAATTGTCGGCGTTAATTAATGAATGTGTTAACGCGAAATTAACGCGTTAACTTGCCCAGCACTAATAATAATATTATATAATATAGAATTACAGTGCATACAAATGTTCCTGTGTCACCTGATCCCTTCTTGATTGACTACTGATCTACAGCATGTACTGTATCCTAAACCACCTCTACTTCACAATGGTGTCTGTTTGTTGTGTGCCAGCTGTTTCCAGTGACAGCCAGATGGCCCTTATGAAGACTCTGGTGGAGTCGCTGCCAGAGGAAAACGCTGCATCACTTCGGTACCTCGTCACATTCCTGGCACAGGTACAGACTTCACTTCCCATCACTCTCTCTCCGGAACCTTTCTACCTGTGTAACCTGTCTGTGTGTTTGTTTAGGTATCAGCCAACAGTGAAGTGAATAAGATGACCAACAGTAACCTGGCTGTGGTGTTTGGTCCTAACCTGCTCTGGGGGCGGGACAACGCCATGTCACTCAGCGCCATTGGGCCAATCAACAACTTCACCAGAACCCTGCTGGACCAGCAGCATCTGGTCTTTACCTAAATCCTGCCCCTTCACCCTGCAGTCTCTCGTCCAGTCCCAAACACCATATTCCATTATAACACTAGATCCTGTGGACCAATTACATTTCATTTAGTTTCCATCAGTCTTTACATTCTGATTGGCCCCTTAGCAGTGTCTTCTTGTTATGTCAAGCAGTCTGGACTGCTGCTAGCTTCTGGCCCTCATGTCCATGTGACTCCAGGCATGTGGGTGCCAATGGTACTTATTGGAATGCAGCCAAATAACGTTAAATAAACAACATATAGCACACAATTTAACTGCAAATAAGTTGTTGACATAGCATCCACTCACGGGGTCACTTTGGTCTGACTGGAGATCAAAGTCTGCTAATTTTTTTTTTTGTCATTTTGAGAAGTCAACAGTGCTGTCTCATAATCAGTAATCATTAAACAAATAAAAAAGTAGCTGATACGAGGTGAAAAAGTCACTCCCAGATTTTGTTGCAGCATTTTCTTTCTCAAGAGACCTTCAACAAAATGTGGTCAGAATCAAAGAAATTGGTCACTTTGGTCAATCTCCAAAAGCCCTGGATCCTACATTTCCCATAATGCAGCTTAATAGTATTCTATCAGACCCTAACCCTGCCAGGTAAATCCAGTCTGTTCTAGATGTGTAGTCACGTGAGTGTATCTTTCAGGACATCAATGCACTCAAGTCAAATATGTATCAATTCTGTCACATTGTACATTTGTGACTCTTCCACCACATCATTCCACCACAGCAACCCTTCAAACATGCATGTGTTTCTACCTGTTTCAGTGTCTCAGGCTCTTCCTCGTCTTTGCTCCTGTAGGCAGACTCATAGCAGTTGGACTTGGATGTCTCCGGTCTGTCTCTGTATACATGTGCTGTGTTGTTGTCTCTCTGTTGTTTCTATGAAGTGTCAAAAAGTGTTGTGTAGCTTTCACAGAGAGAGCAGGATGACAGCACACGATCAATAATAACTATAGATAACAAACATGCCCTCTAGGATGATGATCCAGAGCTAAAGAGAGGAGAGATGAGGCTCTCCTCTCTTTAGCTCTGGGAGGTTTCCATCTTCATTAAAGTCTCAGGGTAAATTCACAAACGGTGAACTTGGTACCTAACGTTGTGGACATTCTTTGAAATGCTGTAATTCTAAAAAGCAGTAGAAAAAAGCATGTTGGAACCCAAACCCTTGTTTCAGACTCACTGCTCAGTCATATATAGCACTGTACTATATCCTGAGATATTCTTTATGGCTCTCCTTAATATATTTGACTTTAGTATTGTATTCATATTATCTGGTTATTAACATTATAGTTAGCTTAACTCCATTGTCATTGTAGAAAACATGTCTCATTGTAGGTCATCAGAGAAGCAGTTTTTTTTAGTGCTATGGGATAAACTCCATGCAGTGAGGTGTAATATTAGTACAAAAACAGGATTACAAGCAGATACACAAACAGTTCATGTCATTAAATAAAGTGTCACAGGCTTTTATGAAACCTTAATGGCAGAGAGAAGCAGGTCTTTATTTTTCCTGCTGCCTTGATTAATACAATATAATATACATTATATACACGTACAAAGCACTAGTTAAAGTACTTCAACAACACAGTCGTGTCATATTCACCGCTCAGTCATAAATCTCATTTATTCATTCCAGTTTTTCTCTATCAATTAAACTATTTTTTCATCCTAGAAAGAGTCCACTGTTTCCTTCATTGGTGGGCTTTAAATGTGACAACATTGTAGGAAGTATTAAGGTTCATTGACAGCAGATTACGTGGGTAAAGAAAACCAAGGAAGTGAAAGACTGGACTTAATTTGTCGTATTTGTGTTGGAAGAGAGTGGTGAGCATTAGTGACATTGACTTTACAAGATTCTAAATGTGAAGAAAAACTTCACATATTGAAATCCCAGTGTTGTGGGCTCTGTTAAAGGAAGTGAGGAGAAGAACATGGTCACTGCTTTCAGTGTTCATGTTACTGAAAGTGTTACCTTCACCCCCTCACGTCCACAGTTCAGCTTTAGTAATACTGCTGAGTGTTCGTGTGGAGACTTGGCTCATGGGCCTAATGATACGATTGTGCTAGTATGAAATTAGCATGGTGTTGTAGTCTTTTTGTTACCTCTGTGTTCATTCAAGTACATTCAAATGTATTTCAATAGCGTCAAATCACAATAGAATTACCTCACGACACTTTTCATATAGAGCAGATTTAGACCTTTAATTTACAGAGGCCATCATTTCGCCATGAGCATTTAGACAACTTGAACAGGATGAAATCTCTAACTGGATTGGCTTGTTTTGGAAAGAGAAAGAGAGACAAAGCTACACAGCAACTACAATAACAACAATAGCAGTTCGTAGCATGGTGCTAACCCGTGCACAATACACTTGTATTGTGTTGCACACTCAGTTTCTGCAGTTCTACTGTGTATTCTATCTGTAGTCCTAGTTGTGGAGCTGGTCATGGGCCAAACAGGAAGTGAGATCATCCAATAGGCTTTATAGTAGAGGGAATCATTGTTTCTGGGAATAGTCCTTATAAAGTACCTAGCCTGGGTTGGTCAGGGTTTTCTTTTTGTTGACTGGGGGATTTCATTATGGTTTTCTGAATTTTTCACTTTATCTTTTTATCTTCTTTTTCACAACCTCCCTAAAACAAGCATGAACAGCTTTTTTCTTCTTCTTGGTTTCAACTGCAAATATAACAGCAGGCCTCCTGCTGTTCTCTGTCCACCACTTGGCCAATGATTTACAGAGGGCAACAGATATATTATTAGGATTAATGTACTGTTGTGACCTGAGTTTTATTTATATCTTTAGTCGTCTTCTATTTTTTGTGTTGCTGCTGTACTCTGTAACGACCTTATGCACTTTATTTCACTGCATTCATGGAGGGTTAGGGCTAGACCCATAGAGCAGGGTTAGGGGAGGGTTAGACCTATAGTGGAGGGCTAGGGTTAGACCCATAGAGCAGGGTTAGGGGAGGGTTAGACCCATAGAGCAGGGTTATCAAGTTTATTTGGTCTTAATTCAGTTCCCCAAGTCTTAATCTAAAGAACATTTTCTTATTTTCTGCCATCTGTCTCTTGAAGCTTTGCATTCTATGTAAAGTAAAAGTTTTTTTAGAGTGGAGCATCTCAGTGTACTTGTGACCTCTAGTTCTACTGTATATGACTTTGGATGTAAGTCCCAAGAACAAGACAGTTTGACCTTTGTGACCTTGATTATTGTGTCTGCTTTTGTAAAGACTTTTGGCCAAACTGTGCTTTTTTAGTTGTCTTTTATTTTGTGAATGGCCAAACTACTTGCATTAGGGGAGTATTAGTGTTGTAATGTTGCTATACCTAATATGTGACTGAAAAGCACCAAAAGATATTTAGTTTGACTGAAGCTGAAAGCAAAAAATCAATCTCAAATCATGTCATCCCAGTCATGTCAATCATGTGGTAATCAGCATGCTATTGGTGTATACAGTATGTGGGTGTGTGTAGGTGTGTGTAAGTGCTAACTCATCTGGACCCAGCATATTTGAGTATATATCTGAGGCTTTTGAATATATAGGATTGTAGTATAATAGGGCTTTTAGTTGACATATGAATCTTATATATACAAAACCTTATTGTAAAACAACAAAATGCAGATGAATCTAAGACTATTGACAGGATGGTGGTACGAGTTTTTCCATTTGATAACTGCAATATATATATGTGTGTGTGTGTGTGTGTGTGTGTGTTTGTGTGTGTGTTTGCTTGCTTGCATGCTTGTGCCTTATTTGTTTCTCCCAGTGATCATGTAGTTATCCATCAAAGTGCCACTGTGCCCGTTCTGCCATAGATTCAAACCATGTGAGGTGAGTTCAACAAAGCTCTGGCGTTTGGATGTTAGACAGTGGTCCAGTGAGAGTGGTCCAAACGGGCTGATGGGTTCTGCTCCACACAACATGAGGGGGACTATGGAGCTTCTATTCAAACTCTTCTGCTGGTTGAACACAGCCAATTCTGTAATGGATGATCACAGACTTGAGAAATGTAACCTCATAATGATGAACTCCATAACTTCTAAAGAGGCTTGATCCTCATTCAAATTACATGCAATTCTGACATATACATCTAAGATTTAAATGAGGATTAAAGTAAGTTGTTTTTTTTTAGCCTTAAGCCTTATGTCACATATGGTTCTACAATATCTGGTCAACCAGATATTAATGTGTAATTCACAAACACTTTCAAATTATTAGAATCATTGTACAAATGATCAGCTGTTTCAGAGGTCTAAAATGTTGTACAACCAAATTTTCCCTTCACTTTATAATCTGATTACATATCAGACATTTTTTACTTCATCTTGTTATTTTTACAGTAATAACCAAGTATAATTTGTGCTTATTCCATTTTATGAGACTGTTTCTCCTCAACTCTGCTGATCAATTACAGCCCTGTCCAATCTATGGATCTCTGTACTGTAACTTGTCATGGTGACAGTGATTTCTTTGTAGGAGAAATATTGTGGTTTCTCAGCTGATTTATTGATATTTCTTTCTTTTCTTTTTTCATCCATTACTTTTGATATTGTAAATGTGTGTCTTATGTATCTATGATTATATTGGTGATATTCTGTAATATCAATGTGTGCAAACAATAAACGAATGGTAAATAAAAGCTGCTGTTAAGATGGCACTCACTAATTGGAATATGTGAGTGAAATAAATATTGTTTACGGTTAAACTCCATGTTGAAGTATTTGTTCATAATTTGGGTTGTCCCTAATCATCCCCTAGACCAGGGAGAAAAGAAAAGGGACATAACATAATGTCCAAAACAATTGTATTTTAGATCCCAAAAAAACATCATAAAAATCATAGTATAGTAACTCTAAAACGATTCATTGTATTTTTTGTAAATAAAAGTAATTTAAAAGACCAAGTATAATATGTCGAAAAAACTCATGAAAAGTCATAGTATAGTACGTCTAAAACAGTGGCGGACCGTGCATTTTATACCTGGGCCTTCTGTGCTGTCTTACTACAGTTGAACCATCTCCGAATAACCTCATTATGACGCCACAGCTACGGTTATTATTTGTTTGTGTTATTTGCAGTGTTATTCACATAACACTGCAGCATTTGACAAGTGAAATAAAATGTTACATTAACCCTACACCTACACTAACTGCAGAGTGCAGATACATGAATACGCGCATGACGGGATGCTGCATCATTATCGGAAAATGCATATAGTCAAATCAATGTAATTAACACAATGACAAGAACAAACACATTTATTTACAACAAAGCATGACAAAACAATCCATCAAAACTGCAGCAAGAGCACGGGCCATTCAAATATTATTTACATCAGAGGGAACGAATCCAGTAAGTTAATCCAGTAGAGGTGTGTAAGGATCAGATTCTAATGAAAACATCATGAAACTGAAAACAAGTTTTTTGAACAAAATCTTTGAAACTATGTATCAAAGGGGTTTGCATAGCTTCAGAAATAGACCGAAAAATGCATAGACCGAAAAGCCAGCAGCTGGTGTTCAAAGTGCACCAGCCCTGTGTGCAAGGAGCACAAACGTGTGATTGTCATTTGTGAGGCATGTATGCACTAAGATGGCAATTTGCACTGTACCCATATGAGTTTATTGAATCAGTTTTCTTTTATTTATTAATTTTATACATTCACCACAGTTCACTACAGTAACACTGCAGATACACTTACAGTGTTATCAGTGTTATCGGTTGTATGGTGTATGTTATGTGTGAGTGTGACAAAGTAAACATTTCAAATATTAAATGTGTAATTCTTTGATCCAAATCACTGCTAAAATAGTAATTTTTAACAAAATCATGATTATAATATGTCTTTTTTTAAATTTTTATCACACTTACACACATGGGTCATTTTTGACCCATGTGTGTAAACTTGATGTAAAAATACAAAAACTATTTTAGTTCATAAATTAAGAAAGGAAAAATTAAAATAACGATTTGTGGTAATCAAAAACAAGATATTTAATGAATACTTTGAATATTAAATGATGAAATATATTGATTTCCAAAAATATAGCAAAGAAACCCTCAGCCGTGCATGAAATAACATTGTAGGTCAATACGGGTCATTTTTGACCCATGTTGTGTCTTAGAAGGGTAGTGATACAAAAATGTGTTTTATTCAAAACATTCAAAGCTGCATGTTCATTCAGCATGAACGCATGAGTGAGCTGCAAAATGTATAATCCTACTTAGATTGGAAAAACAGTTCAACTACTATTGATCAACTTAAAGTGGATGAGAACATAGTCAAGCTACTCGATAATCCCAGAGAGATGGCAGCCTCTTGCTTCAACTTTAAAGTAATTTACATTTCAATATTGTGAGGCAACAGCCAACACTTTCATAGACTCAGTCAGCCATTGTAAACTTATATCATCATCAGACAGGGACTCATGTGACTGCAGCATTCCTCATGTAATAATCATATGTAATGATTAATGTAACAATGAACGCAAATCAATGCGGTGGTTTGAATTTTCTGGACTTATCAACTCTGAACAATACATAAAACATTAATTGGCTCAGACAATTCATTAAAAATCCATCTTTATGGAATTTGATCCAAAATGATCTATTCTCCAAAATTAGAACTAGACTTTCTTTTATTGTGCAATTATAATATTAGTAAAAATCAAAGTCAAACTTTCATAAGCAGATGTGGTTGTCTTGTTCTCCCTTGTATACTTCTACCTGCATCAATATTACATTTGGAATAATAAGGACATTGTGTACGAAATGTCTTTATTTTCTAAAAAATGATTAAGAAATGATATCATCCTTATTACTATCAACTATTTGACTCAAATGGAAGGCTGTAAAACTACTCATCTTTTGAGAAAATGTCAAATCGCCATAACATTTAGAGAAATGCAAATGTTCTTGTGTCTTTGTGCGTCCTTTATGTATTTTATATGATGTCTTTATTAAAGACAGTTTTTTTAAAAGGAACCCTTTCTGCAGCACAGGAACACTAGCCAATCACAGCACAAACGGGGCGGGACTACGCGGAACAATGGGCGGGGCTAAACGCCAATTGGTGAAAGACCCAAACAACCACATCCCATTGGTTCGGTAGGATTTCGTCACAGAGCATTTGTTTGAATGACGGAAGAGGCGTGTCGGTGTAACGTGGAGTCAGTAAACCGTAGCGCCTGTTGCTGTCCACCAGCTGCTGCTGTGCAGTATCACAGCACTCGGTACCCGGTAACGGCAACAGCAACAAGTGGTAACTTACCGAGTAAATAAAGCCGTACCTGTCACCTCCAGAGTCCGAGCACAGTAACAAATGCATAGCTAATATAGAGTGGTGACGCTACCGTGTTAGCTACAGAAGCTAGCCGAGCTAAAGAACTACTTCCGTTATCTAAGGTGACGTCACCGCTGCGTTCTAAATGTGGCTTTTTATTGCTGTTTTAAAGAGTTACAAGTGTCGCTTGGTTGGCTACTTGTATGCTGAATATAGCAGAATAACTCTTGAATGGTTTCTTTTCTAATGTGTGTCTGCGTGTTCACAACTGCTCGGCATCCTAAAATTGCCTGATTATTAAATGTTCATCATTTAATTGAATTCATTGTCAGAATGTGATCTCACTGAAGCTCCATGAACTCTAACACATCCTGTTTCTCTCCTGCAGTGTGGTGAAACATGGATCAGGTGAGTCCCCATCAGCACCATACCATCTGTGTGTTCATCAGAGAACGCAGTGCCTGTCACCTGTTGGGGTGCAGGAGCTGCAGACACCTGATCACCGGTTGGTTGTGACAGGAGGCTCACAAAGCTGTGTTCAGATTGAAGTGTGCTGCAGTAGAGGACATTTAGAAATGGACAGGGACAGCAGGACAACTCATTTTGTGCACTGCAGCAATAAGACCTATGTTTATCTGTGGACTAGCAGGCAGTTCCAGGTGACTTCAGAGCTCCGGTTTCTTCAGTGGGTCCATGTTGCTCTGTGCTGTTTGTGTGCTCATTGGTTGTGTGTGTGTTTCAGCAGGAGCAGGTCCAGTGGGAGGATGTGAATAAACTTCTGCAGCATCACGGGTTCAAGCCGGTGCATTTAGCAGATCCTGTAGAGAATAAGAATATTTCAGGTGAGAGTCAACGCTTCCAATTTCTACGGTTCTCTGATGTAATTGGGCTGTAACTGCTCCATTGTGCAGAGTATTCTCTAGCACGTTTGCCTCTAGACTTTACTTTTGCTCTGGTGGAATTACTCCGTCACATGACTCTCCATGTGTCCTCAGATCTGATTGTGCTGGACAAGAAGTCGGTCGGTGAGATCAGGACGACTCTGAGGACGATGCTCACAGACTCCGAGAGAAGACAGGCGCTAATCCAGGAGCTCATCAAGTCCAACAACACACTCAAGTAAGTCCTTGTACTAAGTATCGGTGTTTAGTTGTATTCTTCTCAATTCCCACAAACAGCTGGCCAAACGTGCAGAACTTGACATCACTTTGAATAAGTTTAATCTCGCTCTAGTATCCAAACAACTTCTTTATTGTCTCATCCAACAATCCGTCACAAAAGAGGGGAGGAGTCACAGAAATATAGAGCAATAGTCCTGTAATGTATGGAGCAGATCAGATTGAAGTACAACAGTGTATACATGGCTGCAGTATATATTACTGTGGTGTAGTGTGTGTGTCTACTCAATAATGTATGTGCAGTGTGTGTGTCGACCACCTGTCATCCTGTCATCTAATCTCATCAGCATCAGATGAGCATCACAGAGACACACCTGTCCTCCAGCTCAGTGCAGGTATGAAGATTCAGCCTTTATTTAGTCCAAAGAAGTTCTGTTCTGTAGTTATACCAGAGAGAACAAACCAGATATTAAATACTGTTATCAGCCTCAAATCATAATTTATAAATAGCTAATAAATAAAAAAATGTTCTCATCTTTTCCTCGCAGCAAAAGGAAAACATGACGTGGCTAAACACAGCCATAGTTTAAAGTAAGAAATAGAAGAGAACATGCACCTGTTGCATCGTTAGAACAAAGTGTGTGTGTGTGTGCGTGTGCACGTGCGCGTGTGTGTGTGTGTGTGCGCGTGTGTGTGTGTGTGCGCGTGCGTGTGCGCGCGCGCTTTCGTGCGTAGAGAGGAGGTTCATGAGCACACGAGTCGAGCGGCTCAGCAGTCTGAGAGGGCCACAGAGCTGGAGGGGCTGCTGGACGGGGTGAGGACCAGAGTCCAGGACCTGGAGGACCTTGACAGGGCCGCCCAACAGCACGGCCACGCACAACAGCTGCAGCGGGAACAACAGGAAGCACGGGTATGTCAACGAGCCAGTAAAGGCCGACATTAAGGATTCATTACGTTGGGTAATTGATAAATGTGTGTAAATCACTATTATCTGATGTTCTCAGTGAGGAAAACATCTTTGGTTGCATGTGTCTAGAAACAGTGTGAGGTTCTGGAGCAGAAGCTGTCTCAACAGAGGGAGGAAGCAGCTGAACTCCAGAGAAAACTACATTTCACCGTCAAAGAAGAAGAGCGACGATCGGCTCGACAGAGTCGGACCTTCCAGCACGTCTGCAACAAAGTCAGCCAGCAGAATTCCCCAGCAGACCAGCAGTGAGGACATGACCGACTGACAGGAGCTCCTTTCACTTAACAAACAGTTCTCCATACATTTAGATTATACATGATATTCTGCTATTATTATCAATAGATTACGACCATTTCAGAGCAACAGGTGTTTCAGTTTGAACGTAAAGGCTTTTTTACGAGGACACCTTATATGTGGACGCATTGGGCCGAGAGTCTCCAGTTAACGCGCTCACAGGTGATGCTGCAGCTGACCTGCTTCTTCTGTTTGCAGGCTGCTGGATGTGATCGACTTCTATGAGACCAAAATGACTCAGCTGCTGGATGAGCTCAGGTAACACATGTTGAGAGACACTTCTGAAGGTGTCACATGATGATTACTGTGGTAGGATGTGTTGCCTCTGCTGGTCCTAAGCTCTTCATTCTCACCCCAGATCTGTCAAAGGTCAACCAGGAGGATCTCAAGTGGCTCATCAGACAGGACTGAAGAAGGACACTCCATCCTTCAAAACCATTCTCAAGGTAACCTGACAAACTCCTTCTCAGACTTGTTCCCCCTAAAGCAGTAGGTCATGCTCATGCATTTCTTCCACGGCATACCAGGAGCAGCAAATAGGAAGCAAAGCTCAAATAGAAGAACTGAAGAGGGAGGTGGAGCGCCTGAAGCGGGAGCTGGAGACGAGGTGTGTGTTCCTCCAGCCTGAGACATGTGCCGTCCTATCAGTGAACACGCTGACTGTGCTCTTCTGTGCAGGCCGTCGCTCAGAGACGTGAAGTTCTACAAACACAAGCTCCGCCTGTTGGAGGGCTCAAAGAAACACAACAACAGGTAGGATCTCTGATGAATGTGCTCTAGAAGACTGCTCTGAAGCTGGAGTTTCAGGCGTTCAACACACGTACAGAACCAACCTTCTTTGCAGATTGCTCAAAGAAGACGACACAAGTGAGATCAGTGAGGACACCAGAGACCAAGCCAGGGAGGCCAGTCTGTGTGCCCACTATCACCACGTAAGCACACTGTTTGGGTCTGAATATTCCCTTCCTTCTCTCTAACTTAAAAACTAACGGTAATCTCTTGTCCTGACATCCAGCTGTTGAACGAGATCAGAGCTGTTGTGGCCAATCCCAGTGCTCCGTTACGACTGCACAGGCAGAGACCCTCTGCTGGTTTGGACCTGGCCGAGTTTCACACTGTCCTCCCCACACTGGAGGTCTGGGCCCAGCAGATCCGCCTCCTGAAGGTGAACACCAGAGGAGTTAGTTGATGGAAATACTATAAATGCGAGCTGATCATTCACCAGGAAACAGCTGAACATGAAGCTGCTTTGTGGAGTCACATTTAGGGATGCTTAGCTGACTAGAATTATTGAATGTGTGTGTTGGTAGGATCTGCAAAGGGCTTTAAATCAGTTGACTGCCAGACTGATGCCCTGGCAGCCATGTAATGGCAGCCATAATGCTGCAGACGCAGTAACGGTGGAGGACATGCTGTTGCTGGTGGACACCATGCTGGAAAACACCTCAGCTGATGATGACAAGGTAGAACTGTGCACTACTTGCTCATGGTAGTGGTGAGCATGTTGGGGTGACCGTGGCTCACTGGGTTAAGAGGGTTGTCTGGCAACCGGAAGGTCAATGGTCCTCGACTGGGACGTGTCGAAGTGTACCTGAGCAATACACTGAACCCTTAACGGCTCCCCGGGCGCCTGTCATTGGCAGCCCACTGCTCCCTATATACAGGGATGGGTCAAATGCAGAGACAAATTTCCCCCTTAAAGGGATCAATATAGTATAATAAATTAAAAATAAATTAAATTTAAAATTTAAAAAATATGTACTGTGTATGGAACTTTAAGAAGGCCTTACTGTGCTGTGGTCCTGCTAGGTGCTCAGCAGTCCCACTCGATACACTCTGGGCTCCATAGTGTCTCACTTCCAGAAGCTGTTTGACGTGACCTCCCTCAGTGGAGTGTACCCACGTATGAACGAGGTCTACAGCAGGCTGGGAGAGACGAGCAACACCATGAAGAACCTCCGAGATGTTCTGCAGCTCGGTAACCTCAGCTTCACACGCTCTTCAGTCTGTGTGGGACCTCTGGACGGTAGTCAGACGGTAGTTTGTGCTTGTGTGTCAGACAGCAGGGTTCCTCCTGCTGAGGTGGTGAACCGGGTGGCCACACTGATTTCCTCCACTGAGCACACCGCTGGACTCCAAGATGTGCTGGGAGATGCTGATATCGACAGGTTCACATGCACAGAGCACACGCATGTTGTTGGGTCTGTTGTGTTTCTGTTGGGCCACATTCATCCCAACCGCTCTTGTTTTCCAGAATCATCATCAAAGTGAAGCAGCATGAGGAGTTCTTCCCTGCTTTCCACGCCCTCATTATGGATATCTTACAGACTCTGGGTAGATATGAAACCATAACAATACATGTAAAGACAAATGCTGCAGCACATGCATACAAAGAATGTATGGAGAGTAATAATACTTCAGTAATAATGAGATGTGTGTGTGTGTGTGTGTGTGTGTTTCAGGAGTGAGTCAGCTGGACGACATCCTTCCAGCTCTGAAGTGTTTGACGCAAACAGCACAATGACGAGCTGCACTCACTGAACTGGGTGCTGTGTTTAGTTCAATGTAGTGATTGATTTTTTTTTTTAATAAAAAGTGAATATCAGAATATGACTTTCTTCTGCAACAAGCTCGATCATTTCTATGTGAAACAGAAGCAGCTCAACCAGCCTGACACCAGCTGATGAACAAACCACTTTAGAGGAGAATGCTGACTTTAATCAAATCACATTTATGGAGAATGAAAAGTTCATTTTATAAGAGTCCTGAGTATTTCACAGTTCCACTTTTATGATCCTTTCTGATGTATATCATGTTTTCTAAATGATGCTTTTGATTCATCTCTTTAACACTGTTGGGAGTGAGTTGGAGGATATTAATTGTGATCATGATTTTGGCGTCCCACCATTAAATGAACATGTTGGACTGTAATATTGATGTTTATAAATGCATGCTCTGCTCATAGAAAACTGCTGCATATCATCAGGGGCCACCAGGGGGAGATCCAGATGTTGATTTCATTCTGGGTAAAAAGTTTTGGTACAATTTATGATTCGTGCTTCCAAGAGAAGCTCTGTGAAGAAGGACCCGTCTTATTTCAATGCAATATAATACACACACCTTCAACACGTGTTAATCATTGACTTGACATGACTGACTCGGTGTAGTGGTGAGTACTCTGTGTGACCTACGGTAACCTAACTGTTCTCCAGTCTCACTGAAGAAGGTACTGAAGGAATCATCATCTCTGATGGTCTTGTCCATCAGGCTGGATCCCATGTTCCAGGCAGTAGAGCTCCCAGCATGCATTGCTGGTCTGGACGCCAGTCTGACCCACGTGAACTGAGATACACTCACGCTGGACGACAACAAGGCAACGTGTAACACATCTGTTCATAGTTCAGTGACTGTGGTCACTTCATAGGTGAGATGCTCTAATGGGAACTTTACTGGCTGAACTGAAGACAGCAGGCTGTCCTATGAAGGCCTCAGACCCTAAATGCACCAAAACACTTTCTTTAGGAACGTGCACCACTATTTAATAAATATGTTAAGAGGGCCTCATGAGGACCCTGCATTGTCTTGATGAGTCACCAGTGTGGAGCAATAAGGGAGATCTATTGGCAGTAATCCCAAAATGTCCAAGAAGAGAAAAATTAATGCAGAGGGAAGACAATTTAATGAAAGATGGGAAAGAGAATACATGTTTGTGCTTCAAGGAGAAAAAGCGGTGTGTCTTCTGTGTTATGAGGCAGTGTCAGTGATAAAGGAATACAAGCCACGTCGGCATTTTGACACCAAACACGGAGCCAAGTATTCTAAATTTAGCCTCCAAGAAAAACATCAAGTTGTTTTGCCTTGATGTAGCTTCACATGTTTGCTGTGTTTCAGAAGTAAATCAAGGATTCTTTAACGAGTTTCATTGGACTATAGTTTCTTAGTGAATACTGATACACACATAAATGTGCACAAGGATTTAATCACAAGCTGCCCGTCACATTTGAAAGAATGAACCATGAAGTGTCCTCCACAAAGTGCCTGATTTTATATGTGATGTGTTGAACTTCACTCATTACCAGTGAACAGAGAGCAGCTGAGGCTGATGGATGCTGTTCAACCACTGAATGAAGTGACTCGTGTCACCTGTGTGAACTCTGTCTTCTTCATCAGCTGCTTCAGCTTCACGTGTTGGAGAACATCGCCATCATGTGGACAGACGGAGCAACAGCAGCTTCACAGGCTTCACAGTTACATTTAGAGAAGACGATGAAAGCGCCTTTTTTTCTGTTGTTGTAAAGTGAATCAAAGGTTTTACATAAATACAGGTTTTAACCAGACTTAGGAGAAGAAGACGTCAAGGCTGTGGTTATGACTTACAATCTGTTAGATTCAGCTCATTCACAGAGTTTCATAGTTTATTAAACTGGTTTAGTTTTCTTTGAATATAGATGAAAGAGATACATTTATCACAATGATCTTCATCATTTCATCTCTCTGTGTGTGGACACATGAAAACTGATCATTTGCACATATTTGAACACAGATGTGCACATGTTTAAAGTCCTTCTAATGACGCTCACGTTTGGTTTTGGTTGGTAAACGGTCACATGTTGTCTTTTCCTCGTCCAAGTACGACCCGACTGGACCCAAGTTCAACAACCCTTAAAGTACTTTGTTAAAGTAGTACTAGTACTACATGTATCTGTGCAGTCCAAGTATGTGTGTTTAGTTTCACGTATGTGTTCATATTTTATTCAGATTGTTTGATTAGGAGGATATTTTGTATCAAATATCCTTTTAGCACAAAAGTAATCAAAATACTTAAATAAGCAAAGTTCTTATGAAATGAGAAAAATCCGTATTTAGAAAATTAAATAAACTTATGAAATAAGAAAAACCCAAAATTACAACATTCTTATTAAGAAACAAAATGCTTAATTACATAATATTGTAAATTCATGAAGTATAAAATAAGCTCAATTTGAATGAAAAAGGTAATTTCGTTAATTACAAAATCAAGCGAAACTCATGATTTAAGCAAAATACTTTATTATAATTTTTTTAAATTCCTTAATTACAAAATTAACTCAATTTACGAAGAACAAACATTTGCTAAATTATTGTGAAATAAGCAAAATCCTTAACTATAACACAAATTGTAAATTTCTTGATTGCAACATTATTTACATTCATGAAGTACAAAATAAGCAAAATTCTTATGAAATAAGTAATATCCTAAATTACAAAATTAACCAAAATGCACATGTTTTAAGTAAAACTATAAAAAACAAGCAAAATCAACAATTACAATTGTCTAATGATGCAAGCCATATCCTTAATTATAAAAAATAAGCAAATTCCTTAACAACAATCTTACGAAATAAGAAAAGCCTTAATTATAAAAAAAAAGTAAAATCCTTAATTACAAAATGAAGTAAAATCATAAAGTACAACAATGAGCAGAATAGTAAAATGTCTGAATGACAAATAAATGAGGTTTTAGGGGCTGATCACAGCGGGACGTTGTTCATATATTTGTATTATTATGATTATCTTTTAACTCAATGTTGTCCTGCTGCCAAAATATTGCTCACTACAATAAGTGAAGTCATGAAGTTCATTAAATTTTTAAAGGACAAACACTCAATGTTGACAATCTGTTGCTATCGTTCTACAGAATGTAGAAGATAGAAGTCAATGTTTCATGTTTATTCCAATATCTCACATTAACATTGTTCCTGATAGTCTTTGCTTTCTGCTTGGACTCTGGTAAACCTGCTCTCAAGTCTACTTTTAAATGAAACTTTATATCTGTGAGGTGTTTTTAAAGATTCACGTCTTCAGCAGGAACCAATGGGCTTGGAGCTGAGAGCCACAGACAGGAAGTCAGAAGGTATTGAGAGACCAACACATTGTTGAGAGTAAGACAGACCAATAATGTGATATCATATTCAGCCTTCATGTTTAAGGGAACATGCGTATAAAAGGGAGCTGATGGTGGTTGTGTGGTAGAAATCATCTGGATGTGAGAGGAGCTCCTTGGAGGAGCTACTCTGCTCCCTGTGCTTCTTCTTCTTCTTCTTCTTCAGCTGCAGGAACACCCAACTTATACCGAACCAGCTCAGTGTTCTTCTGTCTGCACGGCATCTGCCCCGTTGGCCTGCAGAGACATGACAGCACAGTCCTGTCTTCAGTTCACTAAACACAGAGCGAGAGCTTCATTTCATGGCTGGTCTAAACAGCAGACGTGTGTCAGTACCTTACAGTAGAAGTAAAGGGCAACGTTCACCAACAGCAGAGCCAGCGGCAGGACGATCGCTTTGATGATCAGAGGAGTTGGATCTTAACAAACACATGGACAGTCATCACATCACACGACATCATGAGTCCAACAGCTCCCATTGACCCTGAAATCTACAATCACTGACACGTATTACTCTTCATGTTTACTTCCTGTTTACTGTTCACTTCCTGTTCACCTTACAATATAGGACAGTGGTTCTCAGCTGGTTTGGCTGTGGGACCCACCATCATTCCTTAATGACAAGCCGAGACCCACAGAGATTGTTTTAGGATTTTACTTTCACAACTCAAAACATTGAACGTACTGCTCTGCAATTTGTTTCCCCGTCTCAGCCCTGTGTCACCTTTTGTGGTACATCTCACTCGGGTCAGGAAACTTGTCAGAATGCCATTTTTGATTGGCTGAGCTGCATCACGTGATGTGATTCACTACCCGACTAAGCCTCTGCTGTTAAGTTTTGTTTCACGATAGTCACATGCTCGCCCACTGACCAATCACAGCACACTCTGCACACTCAGCACACTAGTGTATTTAAGAACAATTATTAAATTATAAAATAGCTATAACTTTGTGATTCTGTTTATGCCAGCAGAGAAGGCCTTGCAGGCCCTGACGGCCCACCACTGGTGTATGTACGTATATATATATATATGTCCGGATATATGTATACAAACAATTATATATATATATATATTCACATATATTTGTGTGTGTGTGTGTATATATATACATGCACACACAATATATGTATGTAGATATATAAATATATAAATATTTATAAAATTAAATGTATATAAAGATATTAGTGCTGGGCAAGTTAACGCGTAATTATCACATTAATTAACGCTGACAATTATATTATAGCGCGTTAACGCATTTTAAAATTTTTTTTTAATTTTGAAAGTCCGTTGCTCACTGGCAGCGGTGGAGGAATGGAGACTACTGGACATCGCTGCGGTCAACTCAGCAGACACTCAGATCTCCGTGGTCAACTCAGCAGACCCTTGCACTTTAGTGCACCTATATGCTGAAATTCACGGTAAACGCATTTAAACGGCACAGATCGGGAGCGAGCGAAGGACTTTGTCAGCAGAAAGATTAACGTGAGACAACATCCGGTTTCTTCAGACGAACATCCGGTTTTCAGAATAAGATGCCAGCAAAGTATGAATTATATTCACATTAAGTATAAAACATCTCGTGAGTTAAAGGGAAAATACACCTAAATTGTGGGTAAAGTGTCTTTATTCTTTGATCGCTGGTGTAGATGACTATCGGCAATTTTCCTTTAGTCACCGAGAGGCTGACA